TTTTCGTGGTGCTGTTTTTTTTTTCCTTTGTGACGTTCGTGTGCAGAGAACTGTGGGTAACCGAAGGCTGGGAAGGATACATCTGATGCGTCCTTGAGATCACTCAGAATGTAGGCTGCAGGCTGCATTTCTAGGCTGTATACGAAGGATCCTTCACTTTGGAACGGTCTGCAATGACATAGTGGCCGAGAAATGAAGCCTAGACTTTGGAATGCAACTGTTGAAATGTAATTCCAAAGAAAATTGTGACAAAATAATCTGACAACGTTCTAGGAAGTTGTGACAACATAGTGGCAACGTTGTCAGTGCACTGTCACAACCTTCTAGATGTGCATTATGTTCTGTATGGAACTCCATGGAATTTTGCTGAGCTGCCAACTGATAGTATTCCGATGACATCACACTCGCACTGCCACCATTTTAGTAGGCAACATATGTTAATTCAGCTGTGCTGTGGTGCTTTGTAATGACATAAAGCCATAACTGCACCAGCAAAAGGTAAGGCACTTTTTTGGGATCACTATTTTAAATCTTATTTTTAACGTGTATTAACAGATCTGAATAAAAGGCAGAGTTTACTGCTTAAGAGCTTTGGCAGAACTGGTGAACAGCCACAAACTGCCAACAACAAAAAAGTCAGACGATAGACATGAAAGAAATGAGCTGGTGGATCAAACCACTTTTATTTCTTAGCGGGGGGATAATGGAAACAACAGGTAGATAAGCAGAACTTGAAAGATGATCATGGAAAATGCTTGGAAATTTGGCACAAAATCTTTCCATAGTAATAACTTACCAAATAATTTTACTTTGAGCTGACTTCTTACTTTTTTACAGTGTGTTACTCAAAGCTGAATATTTTGAGATTTGAAAGTTATTAAGATAAAACAAATGGCTTCATAAAAGTGGAGACTCAGAATGTGTTGTGTATCATTTAGTATGTCCATGTGGCTGTTTCTATATCAGAAAAGCTAAGAGGAAACTAAAAGAAGGATTTGCAGGGCATAAATACACTAAAACAATATTCTTTAGTGAAACATTACAAAGAGAAACATCAGAGTAATTCTTCATCTTTAAGACTGCAGGTCCAGAGATGGTAAAGACGAGTATCTGTGGGGGTGACAGACTGAAGCACCGACTCCAACATGACAGCATTCTGGATTTGGTAGTTCATGGCTACCGAGCTCCCTGGGTTGAAGGAAGGATTAGATTTTGGGCCTTTTTTGTAAGCCATGTAGAATTTTATGTTGGCCTTGATACTCTGTGCCTTTTTTTATTGCTCTGGATTTATTCTTGTTCTTTGGGTCTTTTATTGTCTGTTAATTAGATGTGCAGACAACTTGAATGATTGCAAAAAAGACTTAAATACACAAACTTTATTTAGAGGATTTTCTGTTCTTCCAAAAAACAAACTTTAAAAAAATTTATTAGGAAAACGTTTCATTCATAATATACAGTAGACACCAGTCAGAAAACGTGACTATCAGAACTAGGCCTTGAGTTCAGGCCATGAAAATGTAAACTCAGTCAAAAACTAAACACAGACAGTTGAAACGTATAAAAGACATTTCATGTTTGTGAAGTCTAGACTTTTCTCCAAGATATATTTTCTGCAAACCTATTCCAATCCAATCCACTGCTCCACAGCCCTGTGCTGTTAGGCTTTATACCTTTTCAGCCGTTGTTTGGCACTTGGCATGGTGAACTTATCCTCATGTGCAGCTGCTACAGAGCATCCCATTCTATTGGCAATGCGTTTCCATAAAGATCATACAAGTTGGGTGGGTGAAATTGAATGCCTGTGTCAGCAGTGGGTGTATATCAAAGTAGCTGAGTTCATCAATTAGAAGGGGTGTCGATACTTTTGGACATGAGCAAGTCTGAATTATGTTCTATTGCTCTGATGTTCTAACACCGATTTCCTCGTATATCACTTTCTCTGTGCTGGTCTCTGGGAGTCCAATAGTGGTGTAGACTGTGTTAAGACGCAGACCTTCTGAAAGGGGAAACACGTGTTTGTAATAAACAGCAAACTATGAAACACTGAGCAGACTTGCTACAGAGAAATAGAACAACATTTGATTGTTGAAGAGGGGATATTTACCGTGTCTGCTTTGGCTGTTCTTTTCTGTATGTCTGACAGAATCATATATTGGGTTAGAAAGTGTAAATTCTGGAGGGAAAGACGACACATACAGTTAGTGGACCTGATGAAATGGACAATAGCTATGTTTACATGCAGCCTAATACTCTGTTAATAATCCAACTAATAGCTCAGTCTGAATAGAATATGTTCAAGTATACACCTCAGTCGGAGTCCGATTTAAGCCATTCTGAATACAATCTCTATCCGATTGAACGAGGTGGGTAATCCTGTAAATAATCAGTTAAATAGAAGAATAATAACCATGTAAACGCCTGTATCCGATTACATTCCCAATCGGAAAGTTTAAGCATGTGTATGTGACTCGCATCATAGTAAAAGTTTAGAGCGTTCAACATGGCGGGAGCAGAAACTGGTCTGCAGAGGAGACGAAGTTTAAGTTTGAGCTTTAAAAGACGGCGGTGGGACGAGCGTCCAGCTTATGTGTCTCAGAACACGACGTCTTCCTCTCGGCCTTCTTTAATAAGTACATGTGAAGTATGTTTTCCTGAGTCTGACATCATTTTCCAGGAATTAAAAACACATGCACTGCTCACTGCTGCTCGTCTCACTCTGACTGGACTCATGTGATGCTTGTTGTCATGGTAACATCTTCACTGAATGGTACTCTGCGCATGCGTGTGTAATTTTGGATCGGATTACATATAATGTGCATGTAAAAAGAGATTTTCCATCAGATTGTCGAGGACAGTGTGCATATAAGTACCTCAGTCTTAATATATAATTGGAATGTATTCAATCGGATTGGCAAAAATCTTTGCATGTAAACAGCCACTGAGTGTAGACACAAGGTCGGTGGACCTAATGAAGTGGCCAGTGAGTGTAGGTGCACTTTGTTGTTTACATTTACAGACTCTAACCCATTTGTTGCTGCACAATTTATCAGCTCCCCTCTGCTGTGTTCTTCCGTGGAAGGGGACCACCACTGAGTAGATGTGTGGGTGGTTGACCATTCTCAGCACAGCAGTGATACCAATATAGCTCATTTGTGTTGTGCTGGGATGAGTTCCTGGCATTTTTACATACTAACACCTACAATACTAGTGCACTTTACACATTTACAGCTACTGACTGCAGCCCATCTGTCACGTCATAGTTCCTCAGCACCCCTCTATGAGTTCAAACCCAACCCAAGCTGCACACAGTTCTGTCAGTGCCTGACTGACCACATCATTATGTTTTGAGCTGAGAATAACAAAGTTCTGTTAATACATCACCCAAAGTGCAGAATAAATCCGGACAGGATAGTGACAATAATAGCCATTATTACAGTGAAGATAAATGAAATATAAAACAATATAATAAACATGTCGATAATAATATGCTTTAATAAAATACCTAGCTGACAAAAGTTATATTGAAATTCTGCATTAATGAATTTATTCATCAAATATTATATTTTTACAGCATCACCAACGCTTTTCTCATGCTGTGCTGATATAGCGAGATGTCAGCCATCACCTCTTTAAAACAAACTCTATTTCTGCACATAGAACATGTTATATAGAAAATAATTAAACATATCACTTAAAATACTTTTGACCAAAGAAATCAAACTTTGTTTGGCTGCACTATATAAAAATACTTTCCTGTATCGATTCACTGTCCCGTTTTCTCTCAAGTGTCAGTGCTGAGTGCTGACCAGCATGCCTGATTAAAGAATGATTTAAGGTAATGAAAGTGAAGAATTAAGTAAAGGGTAAAACTAAGGCCCAATCCCATTTCACCCCTCGCCTTAGCCCTTAGCCCTCTATTTTGCACGTTCACGTCTAGAGGTAGGGTACCCTGATTTTTGTTGAGATAGAGGGGTAGAGTGAAGTGTTAGGGCTACATGGCCCTCTAAACAGAGGTTTTTCAGAAGCACACTCCAAACAGATGTTATGATGAGGAAAAAAAGAAAAGAAGCAAGACGGCAGCACCAGCGACCACAGAAACCCACAAATGTGAGATTTTCTTCATTTAGAAATTATGATAACCATTGTATTCTCTCAGTTTAATGTCATTTCAGGCTATTATGGTCCTTTTCTTCATAACAAGCATAAAAATCGCTTGTAGCATGCCGATGTCTTGGTAGCTATGTAGCTAAATTTCCTGTTCCACCTTAAATAGCCCAGCAGTTCTGATGCCTTAAGTGCCAGAATGTAAATACTGCACCATTTAAGGTGTAACAGGAAAATTCGAACAAGAAGCTGCTGAATATCTGACTTCAGCTTCATTTCACTAAAGAATTAGGGGTGGGTGATAATAAACGTCAGTTCCCCCCCTTTGAAGGCATATGACTCCCTAAATGTACCTAAAGCCCAGCAGTGAGGAGCTGAACTTTACCCTCCTCTGCTGTCACTGCAGACTGGCAGGGTCGCCTACAGAGCAGCGCTAGTAGCTGTTAATGAAGTAATGCTCTTTTTTATTTGAGGGTTGTTCCATTTCGTAGGGGAAGATTTCAACCACTACCCTTTGTAACTCAGTTCCAAGGGGTAAGGTGACACCTCAAAAACAAGGGGTAGGAATAAAAATAAGAAATGTTTTTGGGTGTAAAGGAGGGGAAATACAGGGTGAAATCTGTTAAAGTGGGAGACGAGCTCTGAAAACATAAACCTGAAATTTAACCCCAAACTGAGCCTGACACACATTTAGACGTCCAAACTAGACATGAGCAGCCGTGTTCCATTGGGTGTTGACAAAATGTTTAAAAGTAACTTGTCCATATTCATCAGTGGCCAGTTTCTAACCACATATCTGCTCATGGGTTGGCTATTTTAGTTAGCGGACTTTTCTTAACCCAGTGATTGTGAGGTGTTTAAAAACATCACCTGTGTCTAACACACGCAAACCAGTGCTACACACGCTGCCATGCCACGTCACTGGTATGCTGAGAATAGGCTCTAGTGGTCCTGTGGTGGTCCCTTTCCGCTGATGGACGAGATAGAGGGCTGCTGAGAAATTGTGACGCAACAGATGGGCTACAGTCAGATATGGTAGGTGTTTCTGATAAAATGGCCAATGAGTGAAGCTGCAAGGTAGATTTACCTAATAAACTAGCAACCCTACACTTACACAAACAGTACAGCAGTAAAACTGTGCTGTCACACTGTATCTTCATAAGTTTGCATGACACATAGTTTACCTTGAACCATATCTTGTCTTTTACGGTGTCTTCCTGCAACACACAAAATAACTTTCAGTGAACTCAGTGTTGTCAGTTAACCTTCACAATGTAGTCTGAAACTAAACTGCTAGAAAATCCAGCATAAGACTGATCTCTTATTAACACTCTACTTTTGACACATATGGCTTCAAAAAATGAACAAAAGAGAGACTGGAGATGGAAATAGAGATAGAAACTCATATCTGATGCAATTTGAAATAATAAACTGTGTTCAAAGACTCACGTTTACTCGCTATGTAGTAAACACATGCTGTGAACAGTAGTAGTACTACTGCTCCTCCTGATGTTCCTGCTATGATGGCTTTCTGGTATTCAGAAACAGCAGCAAGACCTGTAGATAAATAATCCACTCAGTTGAGAATGTAAATCAATCTTCATATGCATGCAAAACTGCATCAATTATTAAAAAACACAAAAAAGTGAAAGAACAATGTTATGTTGCATTTTGTGATAACAGAACTGCAATCTGCAATACAAACTCTGTACCCTAACACATCAAAAGAACTGCAGTACATCTCTTACCTGCATAGACATTACGCTGACTCTTATTGTGGCAAACATTCAATGGACTAAATCTAAACTTCTACTCACCTGGTGAGGTCCAGGGGGGTCCAGGTGAGGTGGGATCTATGTTGTAGGCAAAAGGATAAACACAATGTTAAACAATGCTAGCTTATATTTTATATGTTGAATGTACACATGTTTATATGTTGAGAAATGGCCATAGAGTGTATGTATGTAATATATATGCATATTGTTTGTATTGTTGTCACCCCTAGATCTGAACTGTTCAGATCTAATGTGGGAGGGGCTGCCAGGAAAGGAAAGGGGACAGTGGAAGAGAGAGTTCCTTTGTTATTTGGGAAGGTCTGTGTGGCTTCGCAGCCTCAGGTCTATTTGAGCAGAATTGCAGTTCTGGATGGAGAGATGACTGCCGGATGCTGACTGAGGAGTCAGTGGAGTCATTTATATACAGCTTTGGTTTTAAACTTTTCCTCGCATGTGTAAATATTTTTGTGTGTGTAGTTGCAAAGAACTTCTGCACTGGGAAATGGAGACCTGATGACCAAGTGTGGTGAAAGAAATAAAGAACAGAATTTATATATATATATACATATGTATATATATATATATATATTCTGTTCTTTATTCCTGATGCTGAAAAATTATCAATGCTATATGTACTTAACGGCCATTTTGCTTTGTGATTAGAATATCCAAGCAGTTTCCAGTGTGACCAATGACAGTGCATTCATTAACACTGTTTGCATTGTCACATGCTGTTGACATGGCAATGGTTATATTTTGTCACATGAAAGCCAATCACCTAAGGTGGATTCATTCATGTATTTTGTGTATTAATAAATATTTAATTACACACTTTCAGAGAACTTCAGCAGGCAGGCCTCACTATGTGAAGTCAAATAAGACAAACAGGAAGGCTGTTCAGATAAAAGAACACAATCTTACACATAAAGTCCACAGATTACCAAAGGAAAGGAAAACAAATGGACTTTTACATTGTAGTTAGACAAAAAAACTATGAAAAAATTAACTGACTGTCATATAAAAATACTACGTAGTAAAAGATTAAGCCATAATTATAGAACTATTTTTCTGTTTTAAAGCCACAGTCAGATGTAAATGTAATGTACATGAATGGAAATGCAAAAACTAACCAAGCTGCACCTCCTGATAGGCGATGCTGCAGTTGATTCCCTCATGAAGCTCACAGTGGTAGAGACCCAGATCAGACTGCTGTACATTACGGAGGAGGATGGAGAAGTTTCCAGATTCTGAGAGTTTGGGGAACGTCTTAATACGTCCACCTCTGTTATTCCAGAAGTCTACTTCACCCTGCAGCTTGATCTCCACTAGATTATCCGCTGTTATGTTCCTCTGACTCCACACTGCTGCTATATCTGCAGTCTTGTTTGATCCGAGGAGGGTTGGTTTAAAGTTACATGGCAGCAGAACATCAGACTGCAGCTCAGTGGTTACGTTGCTTCTGCCAACATACTGCATTTGACATCCTCTAGATCCTGTGTGAAAGCATGAAAACCATCATCAGCCATAAAAACCACCAAAACCATCATTAAGAAACAGCTAATGTAGATGTTGATGAGAATACAGCTCACCTTTGACCAAACAGCACCACCAAAGCATCCACAAACCAAAGAATTTCAGCTCAAAGAGCAGAACCATTGCGTGTTTCACCTGCTTAATGCTGCAGTATCTAAAAAAGTGCAGCGATGGCAAGAGATTGTTCTTAACATCACTTCCTGAAAAAAGCTCAAACTAAGAAACCACAGATACCCACAAGCTGTTGCTTCAGACTTGAGGGTTCACGAAAATAGTACGTGCTCTATTGTCACACCCTAGAATGACATACAAGGCATTAAGCTGGAATTAGCAATTTATGCTCAGTGGGTTTTTCTGAAAAGTAACTAGAGGTGATAAACAGTGATAAACGGTTTACAGATAGCAGAGTAAAATCATTCTGGTTCAACACTTTTGACTTTAATCACAAATTCACATGGATCTTGAAATGCACAGTACTGTATAAAAAAGTCCAACTTTCATTTACATTTTCAGTCAAAACAATAAAGTACAAGTTATTCATTTTTCAGAGTCAGGAAAAAAAACATTTAAATCTACACTATGTAAAAAGTTTTGGCCACACTTCATTGTAGGGTGCTGTCCTATAGGCATCATCTGTTATAAAGGCTACTTTAGCTAACTTTGATAGAAACTGGCAAATCTAACCTCTATAGCAAATGACGCCTGCTGGAATAAGCGTTTATAAATGTTTATGTAGGGTTGTGTCAGTGGTCATGAAAAGCTTATGTAGGTGTCATGTAGACTTATTTTCATTCCTCGATGTTTTAAGCTTGCAGTTGATCAGTCCTTCCTAAAGAAGTATAATCTGGATGTAGGGGTTCTCAGTAACTACCAGCCTGTATCAAAACTTTTTTGTCTAAAGGTCTAGAAAAAGTTGTGTTTATTCAAGTTAAATCTTTCTTAGACAACAGCAAAATCTATGAGACATTTCAGTCGGATTTTAGGGCCTTTCACAGTACTGAGTCTGCTCTTTTAAAGTGACTAACTATTGTTTACTTACTGCTGATTCTGGTGGTTGTTCTGTCCTGGTCTTGCTGGACTTGAGTGCTGCATTTGACACTGTTGACCGTGATATACTCATTGAATGTTTGTAACACTGTGTTGGGGTCAAGAATTTGGCTCTTAAATGGTTTATTTCTTATATTAAACATAGAGCTTTTTCAGTTAACATTGGGAACTCCTCTCCATCTGTGGCTATGACATCTGGGGTTCCACAAGGGTCCATCTTAGGCCCTCTCCTTTTTTCGTTATATATGCTCCCCCTAAGGCAAATTATTGGTGAACGTATCATCTCTTTTCATAGTTATGCAGATGATCTATAACTGTACTTAGGTTTAAACTTTGGAAATCACTCTATAGGAAGGCTCAATGAATGTGTCATGGATATTAAGAATCGGATGACCCAGAGCTTTCTTCAACTGAATGACAGTTCTGAATAATTTTTCCAAATGCTTTTGACCCCAGTTTTACTACAGATTTGCTCATCATGATGAGCTCTCATCCTTTTCTTTTGTGAATGTGTTTCTCTAAATCCTCACACACGACAGTCACACTACAATCAAAGGTGGGCTCAGTTTTAATCATCTGTTTAGATGATGTTAAGATGTTCCCATATTTTTGAGTTGTGCAGGTCTCTGTACTGTATTCTCTGCTATCTGTATTTTCCCTCTTGAAGTGATGTAAATGGTGAGCGCAAACATAGACAACTAATCAATGTGTTGCCAGTGATTTTATCATTATTGATAATGTTGATTAATTGTTGCAGCCATAATTCAGAGCAACCAACAAGAAACTCCAGTTCCAAAAGAAGCTCCAGTTCAGTGCTTGATAAAACAAATAAATTCCAGTTAATGTGGATCAAAGAACATCCAGTAAAAAGAAGAACCGTGATGCATCATCTTGGTTTTTAGTTTTTAAGTAAAGGATCTGTGACTCTCAACACGTTTCTCAGTGCATTTTAATTGGCTGACAGGACACTGGATAGTTGTGATGTAACAAAAGCAACTGAACAATTATGATATAATAATCATATTTTATGTTGTTGTAGCATTGACTGTGAAGTTCTCACTCCTATTATCATAATAAACAAAAGAAACATAAATATAAATATATATAAAAAGCTGTTTGATGTTGTTGAGCTTTATAAAGCCTGAATTTACAGTTTCTTCACAGCTACGTCTTTTGTCTCTCACAGTTGACAGTTGAGTTTTCTTGTGTTGGATTTTGACCTAGGAAAGGAGAGAGAGAGCAGAGTTAGTGTGGCAGCTAACAGCGTTTTCATCATTACAGGTCAAAGTGAGTTGAAATACAGCAGCATTGAAAAGTTTGGAATCGCTGTTCAAAAGTTTGGAATCTATGTTTTCAGCAATATAAAATGATCCTAATATGTTAGTCCTGTACAACTTTACAGGTTTCAAATAATTAGTAAAATATACAAATAAATAATTAAGAAATGTTTGATAGGATCAGAAGCTGTAGAAGATTCTAAAATGACTGAGGAAACTGTAGGGAGCAATGGGGTTAGTTGGCACAGTGTCTGTTTCTGGTCAGTAGGGGGCAGTCTCACAAAAAATGTAACTTCAAAATGACTGCCCTCTTGACCAATGTTGAATTTGTCGAGAGCTCTGAACATTACAGTCTATTAAGGTGAGAATATCAATGTTTATACATTATAGCAATGGTTTAAAAAGCACTACTAGAAATTTATTAATTTTACTTTTGATCAGCTATATTTTCATATATGCTTGGATTGCCGTCAATATGTAATGCTAGATAAAAATAACCTTCATCCTAACTTTCATATTAAATATGAAATATAAATAGAGGACCCCTACTTTTACCTGAATGGTATTTTACAGAGATTATCTCTCTGGGTCAGCAATTGTGTACTTTGTCCACCAGTGCATGTGTCAGACAAACCAATACTGGGGCTGGGTGGCATGAGTTCACAACAAGAATGCACCAATTACAGAAAATGTTTTCTGACACTGTTCAGCTTCCATTTGATGCAAGATGGCTTATCCTAATGTATGGGATACCTGGGATACACAGCAGAGTGAAAACTGTGCCAACCTACCCCACTCTCACCTATAACATCAAAAATTAGGCTATAATAAAATTACAATTAGAATTGATCACTTTTCAAAAGTACAGAGATCAAAACTCAAGATGGATAATTAGTCAAACAATGAATGTAATTAGATAATTACTGTATATTATTCATCATTTCATTCACTTCTTGTTCTCATAATTCTTAAAATATTGAATAAACCATTTAGAAAAACTCTCTTAAAAATGATGGTTCTTCAAGGGTTCTTTAGCAAAGAAAATGGTTCCATATAGAACTACGAACATGCAAAGAACCCTTTGCATGATTAAAGGGTTCTTTGCATCATGAAAGGGTTCTTCAGACTGATGGAGAATGTGCTGTAGATGGTTCTATATATAACCTTTTTGAAAAGGGTGCTGTATAGAACCCAAAAGTGTTCTTCTATTGTTACAAGCTTGACATCTATGCTGTACTTGATGCAGTATAGAACCCTTTTCAAAAAGGATCTACATAGAACCATCTACAGGACATTCTTAAGAACACTTATATGATGCAAAGAACACTTTAATCATGCAAAGGTTTCTTTGAGTGTTCATGGTTCTGTATAGCACCATTTTCTTTACTGAAGAACTCTTGAAGAACCATCTCTTTTAAGAGTGTATCTACTACAACTCTCGATGTCACATCATATCTGGAACTGAAAGTGCAGGTTTAAAGGGTACCATATGGTACCAAAAAGGGTTCTTCTATTGTTACGATGTTATGCTTGTAGTAATAGAAGAACCCCTTTTGGTACTATATAGCACCATTTTCAAAAAGGATCTATATAGAACCATATACAACACATTCTCCATCAGTCTGAAGAACCTTTTCATGATGCAAAGAACCCTTTAATCATGCAAAGTGTTCTTTGAGTGTTTGAATGGCTCTATATGGAAGCATTTTCTTTACTAAAGAACCCTTGAAGAACCAACATTTTTAAAGGTGTAGATTTAAAGAATGGTAATGTTTAAACAGTAATATAAGTCCACACTGTATAAGTTAATACTGAATCTAAAATGACAGAAAGAGTTAAAATGGCAAATTATATCAAAATGATCACCACCTGTGTCTGTAGGTCTATGACATACCTCGGTCCACCAAACACAATAGTCTCCTACACACATCAGATACCAGAGACAGTCATCTTACAGTCGTATCAATCCTACTGAAATACTCACAGCACCCTCTGCTGGTACTCTTCATTGTTCTGAGCTCCGTGTCGTTCTCTGTGTCGGAGAAACAGAACAACATCTGTCATTCCAGCTTTCACTGCATTGCCTTGGTCAGTGCATCGTAAAAATAAGTTCAACAGTTTTACCGTAAACAGCCTCGTCTTTTGTTTCTCTTTTAGATTTAGATCGGGAAAAATCACAGATTTGGTCATTTTGATAGACACAACATGGGAATGTGAGCTGAGCAAAAGACTTACTCAAATTACAATTAGAATTCATCATATTTGAAAAGTAAGGAGATCAGAACTCAAGGCAGATACCTAGACAATGAATGTAATGGACGAATGACTGTAAACAGATAATTACAGAATATTATTCATTGTTTATTCATTTCTTCTTCCCACAATTCATGAAATACTGAATAAACCATCTAAAAATACACACTTAAAATTGATGGTTCTTCAAGGGTTCTTTAGTAAAGAAAATGGTTCTATATAGAAACATGAACACTCCAAGAACCCTTTGTGTCGTTAAAAGGTTCTTTGCATCATGAAAGTGTTCTTCAGACTGATGGAGAATGTGCTGTAGATGATATATATACAATCTTTTTGAAAAGGGTTCTATGCAAAACCTTAAAAGTGTTCTTCTGTTGTTACAAGCTTGACATCGGTGCTGTACCTGATGCAGTATAGAACCCTTGTCAAAAAGGTTCTATATAGAACCATCTATGGCACATTCATGAAGCAAAGACCACTTTAGTCATGCAAAGGGTTCTTTGAGTGTTCATGGTTCTGTATAGAACCATTTTTTTTTACTAAAGAACCCTTGAAGAACCATCTTTTAT